GAAGTAGAGAAGCTAAGATGGTTCAGGGAGGACCTGGAACTCAGCACTAGGTAGGAAATTAGGAAATTAACCAGGGAAGTTTCTGGGAGGCAGCAAAATCCCTGGCATGAGGACCTTTGTGTCCCTTCTGCACTCACTTCTCAAAGACCTAGTCTTTCCGGGCAGGGAAAGGCCACTGGGACCTCTGCCCTGTCTCGGTGTCTCCAGTTCTCCTTCCCTACTCCTTCCCTCTGCATCCATCTGCCCTTTACTCTCCACCTTGCTCTAGCGTGCTTGATCGCACGTTCTCTCTCTCTCTCTCTCTCTCTCTCTCTCTCTCTCTCTCTCTCTTTCTCTCCCCCCCCCTTAATGATCTTTCCCTTGTAAAGCTTGTGATTTCAGAATATGACATGTTGACACATAAATCAGAATGTGTGGTAGAAAAGAGGTGGTCAAACTGGGCGGTGGTGGCACACGCCTTTAATCCCAGCAAAGGCAGGAGGATCTCTGTGAGTTCGAGGCCAGCCTGGTCTACAAAAGCTAGTTCCAGGACAGGCTCCAACGCTACAGAGAAACCCTGTCTTGAAAAACAAAAACAAAACAAACAAAAAGAAAGAAAGAAAGAAAGAAAGAAAGAAAGAAAGAAATGGAAAGAGGTGGTCATCTTCTAGCTACCCCCAGAGGGGGGAGGAGTACAAGCGTAGCCACAGCTGTGCAGACAGGGACAGGAGTGTGAAGGAAATCTCCCCCACCTCCTGCCCCATGTCCCTTCTGCTCCATGTCCTGTCCTACCTCCTGCACTGACACAAATCAGAGCCCTCAAGCAGCCAGTGAGCCAGAAGTCAGAAATGAGGCCAGAGGAGGACCCTCCAAGGCTGCAGGGACAGACAGGGAACCTGGCAGGCAACATGAAGCCGCTGATTCCTATGGTAGATGTGGAGTCCAATCAGATCCAGATCCAGGTGGGAGCAGGAACCAGGAAGGTGGAAAAGCAGAGGAGAGAAGGGAGCTCGGCTGGGAGGAGGAAGACAGAGTCTTGAAGCGCAGAGAAGGCTGATTTGAATGAGAAGGGGGAGAGAAATGGGTCAGAAGTGAGCATGGCACGAGCTAGAAAGGGTGAAGACGGCAGAGAAGCGTAGTGGGGTGAAAGGAGCCTTTGAACCAGAAAGCCAAGACGGTGGGGGTGGGCGGGAGAAGTGAAGTCATGGGTGGGGACCCAGAAGGGTGAAGGAGTGTGAGGATGGGTCCCTAGCCCCTTCCCTACTGCCTGCTAATTAACTTCTTAATCGTCTCTGCATTTGCTGAGCTGGCAAATGAAGTGGATACCGACAGATTGGGGCATTCACGATTTCACGCACGGGGGAGCGAGAAGAGCTGCCTAGGAGTCCCAGGGGGCCTTGTCCCCCCTCTGCCCTCCCCTCTCCTCCACCCATCTCTGACGGGCTGGTGGGTGCTTCTATACATGCAGCAGATGGAGCCATATGCAAGGAAACTGTCCATGGGGAATTTGCCCCCATCAGCCTTTCGGAGATGGTCTTGGTGCTTGGCACTATTGATAGAACACCTACGGTTAGCCAGGCACATGCTGCTGCATCGGTCTAGGCATCAGCTGTGTTTTATAGCTTATGGAGAAAAGCCGGGCTCAGACAGACTACATTTCTTGGCCAGCACCACACAGCACTGTTGTAACACATCTAGGTTTGGAACCCAAGTCAGCAAGATACCAAAGCCCTGGGTGAGTCCTAGACTGATGATCCTCTCTAATGGAGGGAGGAGCCCCGTTTCCTTCTCATGGCCCAGGGGCAAAAGGGCATGAGGTTCAAGAAGGGCATGGAGTAGCTGTCACCCATGTGGAGCAGAGCCTATCAGGGCCTGGCTGAGAGTGGGTGGGTTCAGAGGAGCAGAAGGGAAGCAGGAGGACTGGACTAGGATGTCAATCACCCGCTCTGGACCCTCAACTGCCATCCAGCCAAGGCCCTGGCACCTCAACTTCCTGGTCCAAAAAGCCCTGTCAGGATAACTAGCCCTGTGCATCCCAGCCCACCCCTACCCCTGTTTCACAGCTGACCTTTGTTCTAGAGACACTTGTCAACAAACTGCTTTGATGCTGGGAGTTTTTAAAGGCAGGGACTACGCCATTGCTTACCTTTGTCCCCATGTCTGACATAGGAAAAGCTTCAGTGGACGTTCGAAGCAATGTACAGGGCTGGAGGGAGTGACACATGGGTCTGGGTTACATTTCATCTCAGACAAAGGCAGATGTCAGAATGAGGAATTTAGATGGGGTGTAAAAATCAAACTTCTGAGGCCGGGGCTTATGGTAATGCTATGAAGTCTTGATTCAGACCTGCTGATTCTGAGGAGTAAAATTTCTCAAGATTGACTGCTTTTAGAGATCTTAAAAAGCTTGGGTGGGGCTGAAGAACGACTTGAGGTGGCTAAGAGCACTGGCTGCTCTGCCAGAGGGTTCAGGTTCAGTTTCCAGCACCCACATGTTGGCTTACAATCGTGCACTACTCCAGTTCCAGGGGATCGGATGCCCTCTTCTGGCCTCCACGGGCACTAGGCAGTCATGTGGCACTCAGACGTATGTGCAGGCAAAACACCCATACACATAAAACAAACATAATTTTACAAAGTTTGACCATGACTAGCCAGGTGTGGTGGCTTACACCTTTAGTCCCAGCACTCAAGAGGCAGAGGTAGGCAGATCTCTTTGAATTTGAGGCTAGCCTGGTCTACATAGTGAGTTCTAGGCTAGTCAAGGCTCCATAGTGAGACCCTGTCTCAAAATAAAACAGAAAGTTTGGGCCTCTACACGCCACCCATTGAATGTGTGATTTGATTGATCTAAAGTGGGTCCATTTGGAAGACTCCCCAACTCCCAAGGTCTGCCCTGAGGTGGCTTCACTGGTCATTTTACTTGTAGATCCAAATCAGAACGCTGGTATTACTTGTTATTGAGGATTAGCTAACACAGACCAGTATACTAAGAATTTTTCATGCGGTGGTTAATGCAATCCTTGAAATACATACAATCTTCATCATACAGATGAGGAAACTGAAGCTCAGAGGTCAAGGGTCCTGGCAGGAGCAGGTCTGGGAGCCCTGAAATCTGATTCTCGCCCTTTATCTTCCCCCGGACTCCTCCTGAGGCTGTTCAGCGGCCTCAATCAGGCCTGCCTCCTCAGCACCTCATCACCTTCCCTCCACCCCCGCTGCTCCCAGCTCCCTCGGTAACATCCCAGGTGATTGAAGCAATCTGCAGCCATTAAAAGAGGCTCCACGTGTCACTCAGCTTGGGAAGGTTGGAAAGCGGAGGAATTACAGATGTTCCAAAATGGTCTTCCCCTCCCCCGCGGATTTGTGAATCAGACTAGACCCAGTGCTAGAACCATTGCTTCCTCAGACCCAGCTCGCGACCCTCCTAGGGTAATTCCTACTCCCAAAGCCTCCCCACCTCCCTTTGAGTGGAGTTTAAGTGTCTGGGAGACTGCTGTCACCCAGCGGCTGCCCAGGGGCATGGCAGTCCACCAGTGCCGTTGTGCTGCTGGACAGCTCCCCAGCCTGCATGGAAGATTCTATCTTGATTTTGGCAGCTTGGTGCTCTGGATCCTGCTGAATGGATCTCAGTTTCTCCCCAGCTCTAAGCCCTACTCTCTCTGTGGAATCTCCAGATTCACTGATTTCCGAGGTACTCCTTACTCCCAACCTCTCACAAGTTCTCATCAACTTCTTCCCCCTATGTCAGCTCCTCCTGCAGGTTCTGCAAGTCCATTCCTCCAACTTGAACCCAGAACCATGTCCCCAAGACCCGTGCCTTGCCTTCCTTCTCTCAGAGTTTACCAGCCTGTAAGTGGAGCAAAGGAACCACTACAGATAGAATTCTGGTCTTGCACCACACACACACACACACACACACACACACGCGTGCGCACGCGTGTGCTCATGCAGGCCACCATCACCACCATCACCACTACCCCACCATCATCTGACACCATCAGACCTCAACAGCCTGGGTGCTAAGAGCCCCTAATGAGCGTCAGCAAATTAACAACTTCCCCTTGATTGCTCCTTCTCTGCTAATTGGATAGGGAGGGGCTCCCCAAGGCCTCGAAGAAAGAAGGAGGGAGGGTAGGAGAGAGACAGCTACAGGAACAGCCCCCAGATTTCTGCTCCATTCCTAAGTGTACTCCCCTTTCAGGCTTTCCCCATCTTATACCCTTTATTCCATCTCCCCCTTTCCTTACTTCTGTCCCAACTGCCCCCACTCTGGCTACCTCTCTTTCTTTCTTTCCTGCCTTTGAGACCTGCCAGTGAGGCATCTGCACACGCTCTCTTTAAGCAGTCCAAGTGGTACAGGATGGAGTCTGGGTGACAAAAGCTGTATTTATATATATGTCATGTGTGTGTGTGTGTGTGTCACATGTTGATGGGAAGCAGGAATAAGAGCAGGTGAGGGAATGTGTACAAACAGGTAAAGGCTCGTGTGTGGGTCAAGGTTCAGGGATGTGTAGGCTTATGCGATGTGTGAAAGGCTGAGCGGCTTGGTAAGACTCTGGATCTCCACACAGGCAAGTACTTGAATCAGTCAAGTGTGACTGTGACTCCGAGCGTGTGTGTGTGTGTGTGTGTGTGTACACGTGTGCATGTGCCATCAGAGGAAGCATCAGCAAGAGGCAGGAGCTTCCATCCGAAGGAGACAGCGTGAGGAGGGGGACGCTGGGGGCAGACACCCTCCTTCCTGCGCGCGCCCGCGCGCCCGCGCGCGCTCATACACACACCACACACATAGTCTCACACACTCGCATACACATAAGCCACAGGGCCTTGCAAGCAGAGAGCCGGCTCCAAGATCCTAGCGAGGTAGCGCTGCTGAGAGCAGCGGGAAGAGGAGAGCCAGCGGGGGGAGCCCTCGGTTCCGCTCCCGGGCCGGGGGGTGGGGGGGCCGCGCACACCGGCCCAGAGACACCCTCGCAGACACTCGTAGGCGCGCACGCGCACCCTTTCCCCTCCTCCTCCCCTCCCGCCGCCTCCCGGCCGGACGATGGATCCCTGCAGATCCCGGGGCTGAGAGCACCGCGCAGCGCCAGCGCGCCGAGCCCCGGGCGGACCGAGCCGAGCGAGCAAGCGCGCGCGGGCGGCGGACCAAGCTCAGTCGAGCCGGCCGGGCGGGCCGCTCCCTGCAGGGCTCTGCGCGGGTGCCGCGGTGGCCGGCGGCACAGGCTCCGGGCGATGAGCCCCTCCGCGGCGCGGCGCTGAGCCCACGGACGGCCTGTGCCCTAGGACCTGCAGCGGCGGCCGGCTTTCCCCAGCCCCCTCAGGTGGGTTTTCGACCCTGCCGCCTTGGGCCGCGGGGCTCGCCAGCATCCCGAAACCAACACTCTCCTCCCTTGTAGCTTTCTCCAGCTTCTGGAGAAAGCTAGGTGGATGGGGAGGGGGCGGGGGTGAGGAGACCCGAGCCGGGAATCTGACTGCGACGATAAGCTGGACTGGAGGGGGATGCGTTCGGGGCGGGGACAACTGGCTGTCATAGGGAACCGCGCCCCCCCTTCATACATCCACCTCAGGCAGCCTGCCACCCCCTCCCAAACACACACACACAAACACACACACACACGCACTCACACACGCACACACACAGCCTGCGCCTGTGCCTGTTTGAGAACAGGAGACACAGAAGGTGAGAATTCAGACTGAGCCCCTCCCCAGATGTGGCCACCTCTGGAGATTTTCAGGCCCTGATTTAGCATCTAGGGTGACAGCTTGTTCCTGGGGATACCCTTGATTAAGAGAAGAGCTTCTGACCCCTGGCTCAGTCCATTATGGAGAGTTTGATCTCGGCTGGGGTACATCCCTGTCCCAGAGTGACCTCACATCTGGAGGGAACTCCTGTGCCTGCCTTTGGGTGCATAGGGACTTCCCTCATTCACTCTAGTGACTATATCCGGGGTCTCCCATAGTCTGGGAAGTCTCCCTTGCAGAGCATTCTCCCGACCTCAGCTGACACCTGAGCCTCTATGTTTAAATGCTTATCATCTTGTATGGTCCTTTCATCAAGCCACCTTTGAGCCTGCACATCAGGGAAGTCCTCCCTTGAATGAGCAGTCACCTCCGGAAAAGGATTTTGGGTGGACGTAATTGGAGGGGCTCTTTATGTATCTTCATCTCAGGACAATGACAGACTCCTGTCTCTCCTCTCCTTCCCCCAGGATCCCCTTGGCAAGGATGGAACTGAAGACCGAGGAGGAGGAGGTGGGTGGTGTCCAGCCGGTGAGCATCCAGGCTTTCGCCAGCAGCTCCACGCTGCATGGCCTTGCCCACATCTTCTCCTATGAGCGACTGTCTCTGAAGCGAGCACTCTGGGCGCTGTGCTTCCTGGGTTCACTGGCGGTCCTGCTGTGTGTGTGCACTGAGCGTGTACAATACTACTTCTGCTATCATCACGTCACCAAGCTTGACGAGGTGGCTGCCTCCCAGCTCACCTTCCCAGCTGTCACGCTGTGCAACCTCAATGAGTTTCGCTTTAGTCAAGTCTCCAAGAATGACCTGTACCATGCTGGGGAGCTGCTGGCCCTGCTCAACAACAGGTGGGCAGCTCCCGTCCACCCCTCTGCATGGCAAAAGTCAGCCAGCTCTGCCCTGTAGCACCCCCTTAAACCAGCCACAGCAGAGGAACCAGTTACCTACACACAGTCTGATTCCAGCATGGTTCCAAACAGCTCCATTCCCACCCAGCCTAAGCTATGAGATACTGGAACCGTCCCTGGAGTGAGCTTCGCCTTCCTCCTGCCACTATGTCCTCATCTCCTCACTTAGGGGATGTGGCAGCTACCTTTAAAGGGGAGAGACTGTACCATCCATAGCCCCTGCCTTGCCCATGCTTCTCACCCTACCCCAGGCAGCCACTACAGATCCTTTGTCCTCTCACATTCCATGTGTCCGGTTCTCCTGACAGTCCCAGCTTTCCTTCTTGGTCTATCTATGCCCAGATCTGATCCTCCAGGGGCTGAGCGCTGCCCCTACCCAACCCCAAATAGGGCGTGGACATTAGTGGTCATGCTGATCCATATACCACTCACTCCTGGGCTCCAGGTATGAGATACCGGACACACAGATGGCTGACGAAAAGCAGCTGGAGATACTGCAGGACAAGGCCAACTTCCGTAGCTTCAAGCCCAAGCCTTTCAACATGCGTGAGTTCTACGATAGAGCAGGACACGACATCCGAGACATGCTGCTCTCCTGCCACTTCCGAGGGGAGACCTGCAGTGCTGAAGACTTCAAAGTGGTGAGTCCCTGGTGTGGAGTGGCACCCCATCCCCAAAAGGGGAGCAGATAAGAAGCAGGCCGAGCATCTCTTTATGTTTGCTGTTCGGGGAGAGGAAGTTGGGTGTCTTGGGGTTTGCTTCAGGAAGGAGGGGACTTTTCAGCACATGGTGCATTTGTACTGCATGAAGACTTGAACCTCAGTCTTGCATGCATGATGGCTGGAAAGGAAGCCTGTGTTATAGACTACATAAACCACCCATATAGACACATACACAGGAACACACGTTACCCAGAGGGGCCCCAACCCCTCTGATCCTCTATTCTGGGTCACAGAGATCAGAGTTAGTAGTGGTAGGTAAGTACAGCCTTATTACTGAAAAGTAGGTCTGCACACTGTCATCTGGGAGCTTGGAAGAAATGAATGACTTTGCCACCCCGCATTCCTAACCTACTGAAGCAGAATCAGCAGTCTGCGTCAGATAAGATCCCTGGGTGGTATAAGTGCATGTTAAAAAGCTTGTGGAGCATGGGAGGTAGGGAAGCTTCCTCAGGAACAGCTGCAAGGGTCATGCTCTGCATGCCAGGCTCAGCACACACACACACACACACACACACACACACACACACACACACACACACACAAGGCAGGGTAGGCTCGCCCTTGCCATATTCCACACTCAGTGTCAGAGCATCAAGATGCAGCACAATTACAGCTGAACTGGAGGCTCCCTTTGCTTCTGAGGATGGAGATACCACCCCTGGCCGTTCATATCCCATCCCGTAGATGTGGTGCCCTCCGGCTGGCATCACAGGTTCTGGAAACTGACTTTGGCAACTGATGTGCTAGGTGCTCTTGGGCAAATCACATAGATTCCTCGGGGTTAAAAAAAAGCCACACGTAGCCGGATGTAGGGTATGCACCTGTAATCCCAGCACTTGGGGAGCTGAGGTGGGTTGGGATTTTTGAGGCTATTTGAACTACATAGCTAGAGCCTGTCTGAAATCAAAACTGTACTCAGGTATATTGACACATTGTTCCAGCTACTTAGGGGTCCCAGGCAAGTAGAATAGTCCAGCCCAGGAGTTTGATACCATCCTAGGCAACAAAATAAAACTCCCAAATTAAACAAACAAAAAACCCTGGATACAATGGTGCAAACCTGTAATCCTAGCACTCAAGAAACTGAGACAAGAGGACATTGAGCTCAAAGTGCACAGCTTGGACTATATAGAGAGAGCCTATCTCAAAACACAAAGAAGAAGCACACTTGCACACACAAATACATACACACATGCACAAAGGCTAGAAAGAAACCTTAAGGATCTGGAGTCTAGCCTCTCAATCCCTTTGATAAATAACCAAATTATCTTTATTTTACACGTGCACAGACGGAGACATGACGAAGTCTTAACTCACTAGCTGGTTGATGACGGATCCAGGATTAGAACCCATATCTCCTCAGGGCCCAATGCAGTGTACTTTAATCACTAATATTGCTGACCCTGAAGATCCCGTGTCACTTTCACTTTTGACATGGCTTTTTCAAACTCGGTCTCCCCAGGACTCTTCCTAATTCTCCACTCTCAATGCTTCTCTCTCCTCCCTGACTGTTTTCTCTTCAACTTGGCTTGCTTCCTCCTTGTCTTAGACAGCGTGAACCCCACTTGTTTGTGTAGAAAGGTTAGAGTCCTGGGCATGTTTAACGTTTCCTGCTGGGGTTACACAAGCCTTCCCAATCTCTTTAAACTCTGGGAGGCAGATTCATTTTGCCGGCCTTTGTCAATTCCATGCCGATTACACAAGCACACTCCTTGCTGAGCCAAGCTGATGGGCAGTTACCCCAGGTGCAATCACTTCTCTTTTTCACTTCTGCCCAACAGGAAAGTCCTGGACTCCTCCAGACCTTGAGCCCAAAGGGCTCCTGGGCTCGTAAGCTATGTTTCCAAGAAAAATAGAACGGTGCTGAAGATAGCAGAGAGTAGTGTCCCTGTCTCCAGCACGCTGAAAACACAAACAGAAGGGACCAGCGGGGAGAGGAAACCTGCTCACTTAGGTGGTTGGTAGTGCTGGATGCAGGAGGGAGGAGCATAACTCAACCTGGAGAAGTGCTAAAGTAAAAGACAGGGATGTAGGAAGTCAATGAAAAGTTTAGTTGGGAATGGCAAGATGGCTCAGTAGGTAAAGGTGCTTGCCACCAGGCCTGATAACCTGAGTGGAAGAGAATCAACTCTCACAAATTGTCCTGCGACCTCGATTTGAGTGCTGTGGTGTACACACACACACACACACACAGAGAGAGAGAGAGAGAGAGAGAGAGAGAGAGAGAGAGAGAGAGAGAGAGAGAAATGTAATTTGCCCATCATGTTTAAGGGGACAATTTTAAACTGTCAGAGAAGTATTTGGTTTGCAGAGTTCCAGAGCAATCTGAGTTCTTCCGTTTTGCTTCGTTATTTTTATTTACATTTGTAGGATCATGAGTCATGGGTACCCTCAGGGGCTAGAAAGAGGAGCTGGGTTTAAGGGTGGTGTAAGCACCTGATGTGAGTGCTGGCTCCTCTGAAAGAGCAGCAAGCACTAGTAACTGCTGGCCATCTCTCCAGTCCCAGTGTGAGCTCTTTCTTGCTCAGAGGACAGACACACAGGCCAGCATCCAGAAGACACCACCGTGGCATTTCTTGGCTCTGTATTGTCAGGGGAAACTAGGATTGTTATGGTTCTCAGCCTGTGTCAAAGACCTGACCCTGGATCCTGCTGGATCCAAACTCCTCAGCCTTTACCCAGTGCCAGCAGGTGGACCCGACTGCCAGGCTCTTTCCTCCCCACAGCCTCGTCTACCCTCAGGGGTCTCAGCGGGTAGCTCTTCGGTGTAGAAGGGCCTGGGAAGCTTTCCCCTTTGGGTCTCCAATCCTAAGGGGGCTCACATTCGTTTCCTCTCCTAGGTCTTCTAATTAATGTCTGTCTCCCGGCCAGAGCACTCTGCTCAGCCGGGAGGCGTGTAGGGGAAGTGCATCTAGCCTCTGGGCCAATGGAGCACTGAGGAAAAACATGTGTCTGCAGGGTCAAGGCTTAGAGGCAACTACCCTGGCATCGCTCAGTAGTAAGGGGGGTTGTCTTTGAAAGACCCTCACCCACTTGGGTGTAGGCCCAAGAGGGAGAAGCCCCGCAACTCAATTAACCAGTCCAGCAGATGCAAGAAGCAAGAGGATTTATTAACAATAGCACCACCAGGTGTCCCTAGTCTCCAAAGAGGTAGAGCACCCGGAACAGTAATTCCAGAAAATTTTTATAGGCAAAACCACATAGTGGGTATAGGGTACAAAATGATTGGACATAACATAAGCATATTAGATCAGACCTGGGCCACAATTGTCAGTTCCCTTAAATTTCCCAGAAATGCCATAAAAACATTGACATTGCCCACAAACTTTATCTGTCTCAGTCTGGGCATCAGATGCTTCCTGAGCATGAGTGGAACAGGGTACTGTGGTCAGGATGCAAAAGCAGCAGCTAGGATTATTTTGCAAAATTTGCAAGTTTATACTTCTCTCTTTTTCATTGCTGATTGTCTTTAATCTAAAAGTAGTTGCCAACAGGCTTTTCATCTTTTTGTTGTTGTTGTTGTTGTTGTTGTTGTTGAAATGGGGGTCTTACTTTGTAGTCCAGGCTGGCCTCAAATTCACAGTCCTACCTTAGTGTACTGGGATTATAATTACATGTTACCACACCCAGAAGAGCAGGGGGTCTTAAATGAGGGCCCAAGTCTTTGCTCCTTGTTTGGGGATGCTGTGCACATAGGCATATTTGGACTTCTTTACGTAAACAGCAACTACCCTGTTGTTAAGGCTGTTCAGGAAGGCATAGAACAAGGCTGCCTCGATGCCCAAAGATCCCAACTCCCCTAGATGCGCTTCTAAACCCTGCTCAACCTCAGGGAATGTATTGGCCTGGGAGGATGGGGTGAGTGTGGGGTCTGGGAGGATGGGGTGAGTGTGGAGGCTGGGAGGATGGAGTGGGACCAGGGAGGATGGCGGTGAATATGGGACCAGGGAGGAAGGGGGGAGTGTGGGGCCTGGGAGGATGGGATGAGTGTGGGGCCTGGGAGGATGGGGTGAGTGTGGAGGCTGGGAGGATGGAGTGGGACCAGGGAGGATGGGGGTGAATATGGGACCAGGGAGGATGGAGGTGAGTGTGGGGCCTGGGAGGATGGGGTGAGTGTGGGACCTGGGAGGATGGGGTGAGTGTGGAGGCTGGGAGGATGGGGTGAGTGTGGGACCTGTGGAGGCTGGGAGGATGAGGGGCCTGAACTAAGTCCGGGAAATTTTGTTTTGGAAGTCATTTGGGTTTGAGAAAGGCAGGAAGCAGCCAGGGATACCCCTAGGCAATCCAGTTGGGTAGATATCAGTAGCTCTCTTCTGAAAAAGCAAGAGAGCAGGGAAGGCCCAACACAAGGTCCTCTTCTTTCCTGGCCATCTCCCTTCCTTCCCAGTGGGGTGCTTGGTTACCAGGGCAACAAGGTCTGAAGCTCCTCTCTCCTTTCCCCACCTTAGGGGCAGCCAGGCCAAGGCAGGACAGGGGTTCCATGGGGGGCGGGGGGGGGGGACTCAGCTGCTGCTAGTCTCTGGGAGGGGGCTGGGGAGGGAGCACAGTCACAGCTGGTGCCAGCCTCCAGCTGCACCTTATCTGTCCCTGGCAGTGGGAGCGCGATGTGGCTGGAATGCTGAGTGGCACCAACGGAAGGGGGCCTGCAGATGGTTGCCCAATCTGCCCTACGCCATCCCCTCCAGCTGAGGCCCAGAGCCTTTGCCTAGGGAAGAAAGAAGCAGGAATTCATGTCTGAGCCTTGGAAGAGAAAGGAAATAGGAGACAGCGGGTTCTGGAGGTAGGGGTGTGGTAGGAGCAGGGATTTACGCAGGGCTGGAACTGGGAGCTTGGGGTGGCCACAAGATTCCTCCAGATCCTGAAGAAACAATCCAGTCACCCCGTGCCGGGGTGGAGGGAATGGGGTGGGCACGGAAGGG